AGCCATCAACGGGAGTCCCATAGAGCTGGTGTCAAGTTATAAACATTTAGGTACAGTCTTTCATTCCTCTGCATCCTGGCCTTCCCACATAAAACACACAGCAGTAAATGCACATAAAAGTGCTACTGTATTAATTATATATATATATATATTGACAATAAAGGGGGGTAGCATGTTCTTTCAGTGATCCAGTGTTTAAGTTTAACGTAATCAGGCAAAAGCTCTATGGTTCCCAATTATTTGCATATCCCAATCTGTGCCCCCTTGAGCTTGTCCAGTCCAAATGTCTGAGAGCGCTATGGCAGTGCCTCCTTCTATCCCTATCACAGCTCTAGGCCTAGAGGCAGGTTTAGTCTCCATCAGAGCTCATCCCAAGTTCTACATGTTCAATCACTGGCTAAAGTTTATCTTCTTCCCACAAGGTTTGGCACCATTGACTCTTTCTGACACCTTCCAATCAGAATGGAAGTGTTACTTGACAAAGGAAGCTCTGCAAATTGGTCCTTCTGCAAACGCCCTTATAGCGATGGGTTATGTCAATGCCAAATCAGTTGTCAAGCAAAGTATCTGGGACATCGAACTTCAAGAACAAATCCAGTGTTGTAAAAAACAACAACACCTTTATACTTCCCACCTATATGACCAGTCAATGCTTGCTGTTATTTTATTATTACTAATACCATTTCTTCTTATTTAGTATTAAGCATTGTATTCACCGCCACTCATTACTGCCTAAAAATATTTACTTGTTTCCACTCTTTGTTTTTTCATAAAAACTGTATCAAATTGACAGTAACATGCAGTAATAATGATAAATATAATTTTGCACAAATATGAGAGATTCTAAGACAGTCTTAGGAAACAGGATGAAATCAAAACATTTACCAGTGTGAGTGGCCCCTATCCACCTGCTGGCAAGAGTGGGCTTTCCACCTCCCCAATAGCTAGGGCAAGACTCCTGACCTAAGTTCACCTGTGGACTGGGGGCATTGGTGACATAGATGCTGATGATGTCTTGGAGGCCACATGTGTAAGCATGGAGGGCTAAGGATTTAAGGAGGAGTGCAAGGGTGAGGAGGAATGTTGGGCAGACATTGTTGACTGGGACATGCTCAAGCCCAAGAGGTATTGGCATTGCTGGTGTGCTCAAGAGCCAACTGGGAGACAATCCATCGCTGGGACCCTGATACTGGATGTTGGAAAGAGTTCTTCATGCCACTGGAGAAAGCAGTCTGGGTGAGCTGAGATGAGGCGAGACAGGAGACAAAGTGACTGGCAAACCAGTGTTGGGTGCAACAGAGGCAAAAGAAGCAGTAGGGGCAAATGGCCCCGCAGCAATGACCCTGAGGGTAGCATATCCAACATCACCCAGCTGGTCCTCCTCCTATCATACTTTCCTCCATTTTCCACTACTCCATGGCCCAACCATGCCCACGTAGACTTTGGCCATGCCTCCAAAGAAGAGTATCACATGTATGGGGGAGGGGCTTCTGCTAGCAGTGACTATAGGGGAGTAGCTGGGGAAGGTGCAGAGTTTATGCTACTCCAGAGACACTGAATGACCGTGTCTCTCACTCTTGTGGCACTGTGTTCTTGGTCCACCTGCAAAGAGTCATTGAGTCTGTAGAGGAGGCAGGGACTTTGCTCCTCCCAGTAAGAGACTATGGTGGATTTGTTCTGTTGGGCACAGAGATTGCGGTAGCAGCAGCAGAGGCTGGCCTGGCTGGTCTGCAGCACCCTGCCGGGGCTTGGGTGAAGGAAGTGATATGATTCCAGCCTTTGTGATACACCCTTGCTGTTTTTGTGGGTGGATAAGACTACCAGAACAAAGGACCACCATTTTGTATTATTCTTTAATGATGTATGGCAAAAATCTTCTCCTAGTAGCTGAAATATGGTTCATACAGATACAGTACATGCATAAGTCATTAGCTGCAATGATTTTTGTCATGGAGGCCATTGGGGGCCATGGGACAAGGATGAGTCTTTAATTTTCAATAAACTGCTTTACTGCTAAAATCACCCCAGAAATTAAAGCCCCCCCATCCACCCTGCAGCCTCTAATAGCTTCTCTGAAACAAAAAAGGATCCATTGGGACCTTCAGGAATAGGAAGAATTGGAATTGTACTACCGTATTTTTCGCTCCATAAGATGCACCTCACCATAAGACGCAGCTAATTTTTAGAGGAGGAAAACAGGAAAAAAATATTCTGAACTAAATAGTGTCATAAAGTTGTATGGTATCTCTTTATATAATACATTTTGAATTATGTTCACCATTAGAGTGGAGTAGACACCCCAAGGCACAATACATCAATGTAAAGTATCAAAAATTCAGGTTGTAAGATACCATTAGAGTGGGTTGCTTTGAATAGTATGACAAATCTCAAAAGAACTAAAAGCCTTTCACTCAGTGAGCAACTGAAACAAATCCTACTTTTCACCACCCTGCCTCAGTCATTCATATGTCTCCCTTAATGTCACCAGTCAGCAATCCAGCCAGGAATTCCTCTGTATTATGTTATTTACAGTACCTGGACGAGTCTTCTCCCTTCTTCTGCGGAGCACTCTCTCTCTCTCTCTCTCTCTCTCTGCTTCCCCTGGCGTCTGGCTGGTCACATGATCCGGCTGTCCAGTAAGCAGCACTGGTCCTACAGGGCTGCCATGGATGCCCTGTAGTATCAGCACTACTAATGAGTACAGTACTGGGGGGGGGGCTGTTAAGCCACCACCATTTTGCCTAGTCCCAGCAATCTTGAGGCAGTGTCCTTCCAGATCAGCATTGTTAAAAGGTGTAATTATCAGACTGAGCACTAGAGGGAACCAAACACAATGTATTCGCTTCATAAGATGCACACACTTTTCCTCATACCTTTTTTTTCATGGAAAAGTGTGTCTTATGGAGCGAAAAATACGGTATTTTTTTAAAAAAATCACTGCAGCTAATGGCATCATTAGCCTTATGCAGCACAATTTACAGAACAGGTTTTCAGGCTGTGTCTGGTTGAGACTGCCTACTATCCTAAAAGTTGATTTAAATAAAAACTTTTACTATATTGAAGTTAACAAAGGATTTCAAATAAGAATTTTACTTCCCTCAGCCTATTATAAAAGGGATGCTGGAAATAAGCTGAATTCACCCCTGTGGCTGGCTACTTAAAAGTCAGTCCATTTTTTATTCTGGAACTGGAGGTTCTAAATTAGAATTAAAGTTTTATAACTCCATCTTGCATTTAAGGATAATATTCTGTTATTCACAATTAGGTGAAATATGCATTCTACACATTTGTTTCTCAACTTTCCTCTTGCAACTCTAATCTTTTTCATAACATAAGAACTTGATAGATTTTATTAGCATGGGACTTTGAGATTTCTTGTACTAGAATTCACCACAAGTAGAAGTCTGGCAGCTTTAGCAAAGAAATCGAAGTCCTCACAGGAGTTTTCAGTTAGAAATGGGAATGTGTTCTGTCAGCCATTTTGTTCCTGTGAAGAAGACAGAGGAATTGGGTGAGAGTGGCCAGACTCGAAGGGAGGTCCAATGGATTAGGGGACTGATGGTATCTCTGTGCATTATCATCTGTACAAAATGCATCTCAAAAGTCTCATAATCCCATGGATCTTAGCCTGCCCATTTCACCTGTCCTTTTCACAAGAACATAATGGCTGACAGAGCTTCCTTTCCCATTATTGTGTAACTGTGTGATCCTATGAGGATGTTGGTTTCTTGTTTAAAGCCCCCAGAACTCTTGCTGAAGGAATTCCTAGTAAATTCTGGGGTCTGAAGGCCAAGAAATCCCAAAATCCTGTGTCTAGACTTTTATTTTATTTCACATTCAATCATCTGATAGAACAGGTCTCAGGTTACCACATCCTGATATGCTTCTGGAACAAAGTCCACATCCAAATCAAATTACTGGTCTTAGATCAAATTCTGCTCCTTTACTGTTATGGGGTATTGATCACTTCATTTCGATTAAACCAGAAAATTAAATAAGCTTTTTCTCTGGAAACACAGAGGTAATTGAGGACACTATTCCAGTGTGCTGAAAAATAAGTTAAATGGTATACAGCAGCGGTCCCCAACTGTTTTGGGACCATGGACCAGCTGAGCCTCCAAGGTGACCCGCACAAGTGCGGGTGGGTGCACGTGCACTCTCAGGCGCATACGCGAAGTGGTGGGGAGCACCAGCCAGTGCCAGCATGAGTGCTCCCCCACCCCTTCACGCATAGGCAGGGGCACCTGCGTGCCCACCCACACGGCCGCCACTTCGCATGGGTGCTCGGGTGCATATGTGAAGGGGTGGGGGAGCACTCACACATGCGCTGGCATGCATGCACGTGCACAAAGCAGCTATGGGGAGGGGAGTGTGTGCAGGGGGTCGAGGTCTGTCTTCATGGCCCGGTCCAGCTCAGGCTGCGGACCAGCACCAGGCTGCGGACCGGGGGTTGACGACCTCTGGTATACAGTATAAGCGTCTTTACAACCTATTATCTTTAGTTTAAGGATGTATGTTATTCCCTATCAGTTAAAAGTAGCAAAGGTAATATACATTTTAATCTCAGCATTTCCAGTAATTTAGATCTCATGAAATATGTTCTACAATGCTATGCTGCGGAAGCTGGATTTAGGCATCCTTTCTCTTCTTCCTGTCAAACAGCTTTTCTCAGAGATTTCTGCTTATCCAATGGCATTTCTGTGTGTACAGTTAGATTGGGTAAATAAAGGGGGCAACCCAGTAAAGTTATGTGAAGAAATAAGCACCAAGCTTCTGTGCATACATATACATGGGTTCACTTGTTTTAATGTGAGATCAAAATCTATGCATTAACACTGAGCAAAGGAATTAATTTTTTAAATCATTTTAGGGATATTTTTGTTGTCAAAATTGATATCTCAAAATAGAAATTTGTCACTATTTAAAATAGACTGCTCAAAATACTGACATGTAAGGAATATTTCTAATTTGTAAAATTAAATAAACATTATAATTGACAGGGCCCTTGTCGGAGAGAAATGGAAGATATGTTAAATAACTTAAAGATTCTGAATGTCCTAAGTCCAAGAGGATTGCATATTCCAAACTGTGACAAGAAGGGATTCTACAAGAAAAAACAGGTGAGTAAAATTCCTGGGTAATTTCTCTTCTTCCTTTTTTTAATGAGCAGATCATTCCCATTTTAAAAGAAATAGTTCCAGTGTAAATAACAATAAAAATACTTAATCGTTAGAGCAAAATAAGTTGAATAATGAATAGGCAGAGTTAGGCTTAGCTCCAAAGAAATTTATTAGGTGTAGTTTACTGATGTTGTTCATATCATGTTTCCCCAAAAGTAAGACAGGGTATTATATTAATTTTTGCTCCAAAAAACGCATTAGGACTTATTTTCATGGAATTCTTTTTTATTCAAATGCAGCCATGTCATCTTCTTCTGGTTGCTGGACAATGGTGGAGGGTGGGGTTTGTTTGACTTAACTGGGGCTTATTTTGGGGGTAGGGCTTATACTACGAGCATCCTGAAAAATCATACTAGGGCTTATTTTCAGGTTAGGTCTTATTTTCAGGGAAACAGGGTAATAACAGGTTAAATCAGAAATCCTGATATTCAAGCCACCAGATGAGCTGGCCCAAATCCTAGATATTAGTTCCCTGCGATTTAAAAAAAAAGACTTTTTGAAAAATAAAAACAAGAGAGAGAAATGGTGCTGTCACTCACTGTATATCTAGTCAATTAGAATTGTAAATGGTTGGCTAAAAATTACAAGAATTGAGTTGGGTTGTACAACAGACAGTTGTTTCAGCAATTCTGCATACAGTGGTGTCTTGCTTAACGATCGCCTTGTTAAACGACAAAACTGCTATATGATGACTGTTTTGCGATCACTTTTGCGACCACAAAACAATGTTTTAATCTGCAAAATCCACTTTGCGACGATCGGTTCCCTGCTTTGGGAACCGATTCTTTGCATTACGACGTTTTTAAAACAGTTGATTGGTTGCTTCAAAATAGCTGCCCACCGTGTAAAATGGCTCCCCGCTCTGTTTTTGGACGGATTCCTCGCTATACAGGCACCGAAAATGGCCGCCCCTATGGAAGATCTTCGCTGGACGGTGAGTTTTTCAGCCCATTGGAACGCATTGAACAGGTTTTCAATGCATTTCAGTGGGATTTTTTTATTTCGCTTAACAAGGATTTTGCTCTACAGCGATTTCGCTGGAACGGATTATCCTCGTTAAGCAAGGCACCACTGTATCTGTTTATCATATCCTATGGATGACTGCTTCCAAAACCTGGGTCATGCAAACATGAAAGTGATGTGCACTCAGCGTTTACTTTTTTTTGTAATGCTGGCCCCACAGGTGTTCTTGGTTTTCCCTCTGCATCAGCCTATGAAGCTGTGTCCTGTCAACATCTGTAACAATAAGCAATTTCTATTTGGTTATTTTAAAATGACATGTGGCCTGGACATCTGGCATTAATAATAGATAGTGCGGATTTAATCAACTGGCGGCAGCTGAAAGACACGTAATGTAAGCTTGTGCGCATGTAAGAGGCGCGCGCGCGCTTTCATGAAGGTGTGCTCGTGCAAAGAAGCAGGAGAGCATAATGCGGGTGCTTACGTGCATGTGCAAATGGTGCAGTGCTTGTGCGCATGTGCAAATGGTGGCACGGCACTTGTGCGGGCGCTCCTCATGCGCATCCACAATGGGGTGGGGGAATATTTGCACAGGCGCCAGTGCACACGCAAGCACAAAGCAGCTGTGCGGAGGGGGGAAGCCTGTCTCTGCGGTCCGGCTCAGGCCATGGACCAGCTCTGGACCATGGACCGGGGGTTGAGCACCTCTGCATTAGAGTTGTGGGAGACATAGTTTTGGAAGACATAGTTTTGGGGCTTCTGAACCCATATCTGGGGAATCCTAAGATAAGGAAAATACCTACTCAAGATAAACCATTTTTACCTCAGGATTTACAAGACTTAGTGGCTAGCTCAAAATCTGGAGTTCTGAGGGTAACAAGCAGTGGCAGATAGAGTGGAAGCCTAGGTCATGATAGATCTGATGTGTTAATAAAAGCTAAGCAGAAGTTGTTCTTGTGTCTGGAGACAAGAATCACTCAGACAGGAAAATATTGTAGCAAGGGTTGTGAGCTTGGGAGGGGCTGAGGCGAGCTGCTGGGAAAAGCGCAACCTAATTACAAGGAAAGCCACTGAAAGAGAGAAAAAGAGCTTGTACTTCTGGCTTTTGTGAGGGAAAAGAACCAGTCCAGGTTAATAAAAAATTGTATTGTTTATGCCGCCTAAACAAAGTAAAAAGCTGGTTATGGAGGCCAAATTCAAAGTGAGGGCGCAATGCTGTCAGCCTTTGTAATATTTTTAATTGCTTCCTATAATAAAGGTATCATAAATGGAAAAAAGTTTAAAAATGAATTAATAAGCAAAAATATATACTTCTACCTCTCTGAGTTGTTGACTATAGTGAGAACAATAAAATTAATGTCCCTTGTTACCAGTCTCTCATTGCTATCATTTGCAGTAATTTCAGAGGGAAACTCCATGTTGTAGCAACTGTTTCTGTACTCTGTATTACTATAAGCACCAGATGGCATTCCACCAAGGGGAAGGGGATTTCAAATCCTAGCAGCTGTGTTCCAAAAGGACTAGATGTTTGCACTGTTATACTGAACAGTCCATTAGAATTTTTGACACTTTCAAATGTGCCTTTAAGGCTCTATCCTGTCAGACGCAGAGTATTCTTGCATAATTCCCCATGCCTCCCACTACTTGGCTACTTCCCTCACACACATGCACATTTGCATAAAAACTGTTGTTCTAGTCTCTGTTTCAGCAACAGTTTAGTGGAAAGTGCATGCAAGAATGTATGTGTAATAGATTTGTTTGGATATCAGCTCTTTGCCTCTGCTTTTTTATATGGATACTATATGCCTTCTGTTCAACTTGCTTCTCCATTACCAATCCTGGACCTCACAACTGAGCCCTAGGTTACCCCACTTGTTACCTCCTCACAGTTTGAAAAGAAGCCATTAATCATCAACCTCTGAGTATGATTCTGTAGCCAATTCTGTATCCACCTGATAGTTGTTCTATACAGCCCACACCTAGTTAATCAGAATATCATGGGGCACTTTGTCAAAAGCTTTGCCAAAATCAAGATTTATAATGTTCACAACATTCCCTCTATCAGCAAGGTTACCTAATCAAAAAATGAGATCTAATTAGTCTGGCAGGATTTGTGCTTAACAAATTTGTCTTGGCTTCTAGTTATTACTGCATTATTTTCCAAGTTTTTGCATAGTGACCGCTTAATAATCTGTTCCACTTTTTTTCTTGTTTGCATAGTGACAGTTTAATAATCTTTTCCACCTTTTTTTCTTGTTGTAATTGTTTGTAGTTTGCCTTTAGAATTTCCTGTTTTTTAAGTTCCCACCCTTCCTGGACTCCTTTGCTTGTTAGGGTCTCCTGCCATGGAACCTTACTTAACATTGTAATGAGTTTGCTAAAGTTGGTGTTTTGTGTTTTTTTAAAAAAATAATTCAGCATATATGTGTGGCTACCCTCTGGTTTTCTTTGAAATCAAGAATTCTAGTAGAACATGGTCACTCTCACCCAGAGTTTCCTTTATTGCCACTTCCTCCACTAAATCATCTCTATTGGTTAAAAACAAGTCAGGGATAACTTGTCCTCTAGTTTATTTCTCCACTTTTCATAGGAGAAAATTATCAGCCACACCAGCCAAGATTTTCTTGGAAGGGCCATACTTGGCAGAATTTGCCTCCGAACAGATACCTGGATATTTGAAACCACCCATCACTTACTACATCCTGTCTCTTTGAAATGCTTGCAATTTGTTTGTTTTTTAAGTTTCATCTGCATTCTCTCCTTGAACAGGCAGTTAGTAATAGACTCCCAACTACCATGCTCCTTTTGTTTTTTGCCCCAACTACATCAATCCAAATGCTCTCAGTGAGACAGCCAACCTCCTCCTCCTATATTTCTGTGCAGGAATTTTTATCTTTGCCATACACTACAACTCCACCTCCCTTTCTATTCTGTCTGTCTGTTGTTGTTTTTTTTGAACAATTTATATCCTTCATTTACTGCATTCTAATCAGGAGAGTCATCCCACCAAATTTCAGTGATTCCTATCAAGTCATATTTACCCTCCTGAACTACACCTTCCAGTTGTTTTGTTTGTTTGTTTCCCATACTCTTGGCATTCTTGTATAGACACAAGAGATTGTGTGATATGGTGCCTGCTTATCTTTGTACTTTTATATTAATGTGATTATTAATGTTAATGTTATTGATTCACATTAGAACTGTTTGGTCCTTTCCTCTTACAGCGTGTGAGGCTTCATCTATCTTTACCTCTGTGCTTGCATCTCCCTCTCCCTTCCATTTCAGTTTAAAGCCCTCCTGATGAAGTTCTTCATGCTGTGGCCAAACATATTCTTCCCATCCTTCTGAAGTGCAAGTCTTCCCTTTTTGCAGTCCACCATCTAGAAAGCTTAGCCCGTGATTCCAAAAATGAAATTCCTTACGTCAGCACCAGCTTTATAGCCGGTCATTCGCCTGGAGTATTTTCTTTTCCCTTTTAATTCCTCTTCAGAGTGCTGGTAGGATGGATGAGAAAACCCTCTGGGCACCAAAGTCCTTAAGTTTCCTTCCCAGAGCTTCAAAGTCTGATGTGATGTCTTGCTCTTGGCTGTATCATTTGTTCCCAGAAAGATGGAAAGGGATACATATCCTTGGGTTTTATGACTGATGGCAATCCTTCTGTCAGTTCCCTAATCTTTGCTCGAGGGAGACAGCATACCTGGTGGGTCCATGGATCTTCCTGGTATACTTCAATTTCTATCCCACTCTCCTATTACAACTACTCTTATCTTTTTATAGGGTGTAGGTTTAGAGTCTCCGCTTGGCTGAGTTTCAGTTCCTCTCATGTACTCCTGTATGGTCTCCTCTTTGACTTCATCTACTTGCCGTCTGCCAGACTCCTCATCAAGAACCTGAAAGCAGTTTTCAGTTCCACTGGTGAAGATAGTCTTCTCCTTCTTTTGCTCCTAACTGTGACTCTTTTCCATGGAGCTTCCTCCACTATTTTTCCTCTCTCCTCACCATTCTTATGGCTCTCATCAGTAATCAGGATACACCCCTTCCTATTAAACTGAGCACACATCCATGGCTCTTAAGCTGAGCACATGGTGTTTCTGACTGGGGAAATTCCTAAGGGTCCCCCAATTCCTTTCCGGTTGTTAATCTAAAAACACTCACTTATCTGCCTTTGTCTCCTTGGTTTCCCCCTTTCTTTTGTTCCTTCCTCCAGTAAAGCTTTCCTTCCTACCTTACCTTCCTATCTTTTCCCCATAAAACTCCTGTTAACTCGCCCTGTTCTCCCTCTGTGGTCATGAATGCTCTCAGGCTGCCTTAGCTTCTTTCCTCAGCTGGGTTAGGAGTCAGCAATCAAAAGTTGTCCTCGCTTCTGTCTTCCCCCAGTAATGATAGTGCAGATCATATTCTCACCTTCTGGAATCCTCTACCATACTATATGAGAGGAAATTTTGATTGAATTTACATATAACATATGTATATTTAAATTCTCATTTTAAAAAGTTAGTAAATGTAATTCTTCAAAACACCTCAAGTTTATGCATGTGGGATATTGTACTTCTGTAGCCACAATTAAAAAACCCAGGAAATGCCCCATATTGCTGCACAATAATGTGCCTGCTGGAAAAAGGATGCCAAATTTTACACTACAGAGGGCAGCCTGAATGTTGACAATGGCAGTAGTCAGAATAGTCTACAGGATATATTTTTCTGCTCACTACCATTCACAAAGTGACACCACACAAGGGAAAATCCCAGTATCGGACACTTTTTTCATCAGTTAACCACTTCTCGTCAAAATATAAAGCAATTTTCGGGGCTGTAGTTCAACAAATATGAATGGTATGCACATTTTGTCTTATCAATATATTTAATCCATTTTAAATCAGATGAGGCTCAAGGTCACTTGCTTCTGCACAGAGATAAAACAGTATTACTTTTTAAAAAATCATAATTAAAAAATCCTTTTCCCAAACATCCCCAAATTTGACACTGAGCAAGATCATACATTCTGCTACACCTTTCCCAACTTGGTGCTGATCTGAGGCCCAGTTTCATAGTTAGAATTTTTTGTTTGTGGCACTCCTATTTTTTGAGTTGGGTCATGGAATACTGAATCCTCCTGTCAGCTGTATATATTGGTGCCCTTGTGGAACAGCAATAATACATGTGCAGGAGTGAGATTTCCATATAACAGGTTTTTGCAGACATCATTACTGAAACATGATCTGTACATAACCCTCATTTTGAAAGAATGTTAACTTTTCAAACACTATTTTAAAGTCAATTCTGAAGGGATGTTTATTTTTTTGTGGTTTTGCATCATTTTGAGGTTTCTTACAGGTTGAGCAAAACAAATAAATACTTTGTATAAGTAGTAAACAGTAATTTGTTGTTTTGTAACTTTCAAGGAGTAGCTCAGAAAATCTTGCATTCTATCTTTAGAGACTAGCAAAACTCTGCCTTTGTTCTTGGGATAAATTATCCTAGGCTATCAATTAATATTATCTACATTATGTATTTGAGCAACCATATCTGTCAGAAAATAGAAACATAGACCTCTGAAATACCCGTATACCTACCAGTTGTTGAAGTGATTACTCCATTGCAAGGGATTATATATCTGCTAATAAATGTCAGCTAGAAGCCTGGGATTCCTATGACAAACAGATGCAAGTGGAGTTGTTAGTGCAGTTTGAACTGGGTTAGCTAGGCATGTGCTCTCTTTGGTGCCTATAAAGAATCAACTAAATGAAGGTCCATGCATAACTTCCTCACTCATGAAATTTTTATAGACCCATTGAAAGTTGATGTAGTTCCATGGTGGTGGACAGCTGTAGTGTGTAGTGTTACTTGATGTGATTTATAAGGCTTCTCCACGAGACTGCTTAGAATAGCGTTTATGGTACAATAACTATGACTTTCCTAGATATTTAGTATTTGAGGTAAATTTTCATTATACTTACTATTCCCAGAACTGGCAGTTTTGATAAAATGAAAAAGAATGGCTTAATCCTTGAGCCTCAGACCATGTACAACTGGGGAAATTTTCTGACATCCAAAAATCCTTGTGGCTTGAAATTTCAACTCGGCTTTGGTACTGCCTGTGACACCAAAACTACTTAGGTATAGTTTGCCTAAAATTAGTATATTTAAGCTGTGCTTTCTAAATTGAGAAGGAAAGTTAATGATATAACCCTTACCCATTGAACTGAAGAGGCATAATTATTTATAATGTTATCTTAACTATACTTTCATTTCCAGGTGCCAGATTTTACTGAGAAAACTGATACAATTCTATTGAAAACATTTTTCGTGTCAAAATAGCATTGGCATTTGGTTCACGTATTCTTTTATGAATGTATTTTGCTACCACGTTGCAGAGGGATGACAAGTGGAACATTTGAAGAGTGGAGGGTGCAGTTAGACAACTGTGGCTGCCCTTAAAATGCACATGTGTTTTTCAGACAGACAGCAAACTCTGAAGGGGGGAGATGTTTTGTGTTTCATTTTACACTGGCGGAGATCTGACCTTAGGTGGGCAGTTGTTGCCTAAAGCCTAAACTCTGGAACAATTTCACTATGTACTTGTAAAATACACACATTTTATGGAAATAGGTATACAAAAATGTGCCATTTTAAAACAGCCCTAGAACCATCAAAATTATTCTGGTAATTTTGCAATTTATGAAATTTTACCTCTTGTTTTGCAGTGTCGTCCATCCAGAGGCCAAAAGAGAGGCTATTGCTGGTGCGTTGATAAATACGGTCAACCACTCCCTGGATATGATGGAAAGGGAAAAGGAGATGTTCATTGCTACAATTTAGAAAGCAAATGAGGAATATGCAGTGTGCCATCTTCCATGAAATCAGTATGTGGCATCTTGACCTGCCAGGCCTTAGAATGACTGGAATATAGCATGAATTGTGTTGGACTTGAGAGTTACAAGTTTTGTCCTTCATTTGTATTGGGGGATACAAGACTATGTGGACTCTGCTGCTGCATCCTGTCACTGACATGCTTCCAGCTTTCCATAGATTTACACAGGGAGCTCTGAAATCCCAAATAAGTCTGCACTATTGATCCCCAGGAAGAATTAAGAAAAAAGGCACTTCAGAATGGATTCAGGGAGTCTCCACTGACACTGTTTTTGTTGCTTTTTGTTCGTTTGTTTGTTTGAAAATAATGGCCTGTGACCAATTTGATCCCCAAAAATAACTGCTTTTAGTTTTAAGAATTTATAGACTGTAAGTTTTATAAACCTGTTTAATAGATTGAGAATGATCCATCCCAAGTTTAGCACATTTGTCAAGTAGATATCACCTGGTGAGTTAAGCATTTGTTCCTAGGGAACCTAGAAATACTTAACTTGAGTTGGATGAAACTCAAAGTGTGTATTCTAAGCTTTGGTTTTGTTTTTATGCAGGTCTGACAGAAAATGTATCTTCACGGGTAAAAATATTTTATTAAATTTTAAAAGAAATTTTAAAAAGAAAAATGTTTCTACGTGACTATATATTGTATTGATGAGTATTCTGTTAGTATGTATTTAATATAATTTTTTAAATAAACTATTTAAATGTAACATATATCGGAGTGTTACACAATCACTGCAGTGTGTATTTTCTTTTTCTCAGAGACTTTCCCAGGTTTGAATGTGTTCACTCTCAGGGGAAGATAGTTCAGTCTGTGATATGGACTGATGAGGTGGTTCTCTGCCCACCATAATGGGATGGAGATCCCTCTCTCCTCACTGCATGGGCTGCTGGTGCCATTCAGATGTTTAATATAGTTAATTAGAAGATTAGACTAGTATCACCTGGCCTGCACACCCGACCAGCTCCCCCCTTCTTTAGCACCGGCATGGCCAGGTTTCCCCTGCAATAACTCTCTGTGCTTCAACTCAGTTTCTTCACTCATAACTGCTTTTATTAGTGAGTGGTACAGCATCATTTCCTCTTTCCTTTCTCCCCCATAGTCTTAAAGGGCTGGATTACAGTCAAATGCGAAAAAGAAAGTACGCCCTCTTTGAATTCTATGGTTTTACATATCAGAACATAATAAAAATCATCTGGTCCTTCCCAGTTCTAAAAATTAGGTAAATACAACCTCAGATTAACATCACATGACATAGTATACTGTGCCATGATTTATTTCACAAAAGCAAAGCCAAAATAGAGATGATCAGCATGTGTTACCACATCTATAAAAGCTGATGTTTTAGCAGTTTGCTGATCTGGTGCATTCAGGTTTGTGTTGACACAATGCGAAGGAGGAAACACATCAGCAGTGATTGTAGTGAACCCATTGTTGCCTCAGGTTTGTGTTGACACAATGCGAAGGAGAAACACATCAGCAGTGATTGTACTGAACCCATTGTTGCTGCCCATCAATCTTGGAAGGGGTTATAAGGCCATTTCCAAACAATTTAACGTCCATCAGTGAGGAAGAGCGGCCATTTCCAAACAATTTAAAGTCCATCTGTGAGGAAGAGTATTCACAAGTGTAAAACATTCAGGGCAGTTGCCAATTTTCTCAGGAGTGTACATCCAAGGAAATTCACCCCAACGTCAGGCTGTGCAATGCTCAGAGAAATTGTAAAAAATCCAAGAGTTACATCTCAAGACTACAGTCTTCAGTTAGCATGTTAAATGTTAAAGTTCATGACATTACAATTAGAAAAAGACTGATCAAGTACAGTGTACAGGGGTGCCTCGCATAACGAGTGCACCGTTTAACGAAGAATCCGCATACCGATGCGGATTTCCCCATCACTAATGCGAGGGCATCCTTGCATTGCGAAGGGGGAACAGCTGTTCGGCGGTTCCAAAATGGCCGCCGGAACACTATAAATGGCCGCCGGAACAACCAAAATGGCCACCGGAACACTAAAAAAGGGTAAAATGGCCGCCGGGACAACCAAAATGGCCACCAGAACACTAAAAAAGGGTGCCGGGACACCCAAAATGGCCACCGGAACACTAAAAATGGCCACCGGGACACCCAAAATGGCCGCTGCAACATGGGGAAACATCGGACACCAGTGAGTTTTGGGCCCATTTGGAACACATTAAACGAAGTTTAATGCATTCCAATGGGTTTCCCCATCCCACTTAACGATGTTTCCCCATAGCGAAGGTTAATCCGGAACGGATTAACCTCGCTATGCGGGGTACCACTGTATTTGGAAGGGACATGAAAAGAACATGACAGTACAGCTTAGATTTGCAAAGTTGCATCTGGACAAACCACAAGACTTCTGGAACAATGTCCTTTGGACAGATGAGTCTAATGTGGAGATGTTTCATCCTAATGCACAGTGCCATGTTTGGTGAAAACCAAGCACACGATATCAGCACAAACACCCCATACCAACTGTCAAGCACAGTGGTGGAGGGGGGATGATTTGGGCTTATTTTGAAGCTATAGAACCTGGGCATCTTGCAGTCATTGAGTTGACCGTGAACTCCTCTGTATGCCAAAGTATTCTAGAGTCAAATGTGAAACTATCTGTCTGACAGCTAAAGCTTGGCCAAAACTGAGTCATGCAACAGGACAAGGATCCCAAGCACACCAGCAAATCTACAATAGAATGGATGGAATAGAAAAGAATCAAGGTGTTTGTCAAGAATCAAGGTGTTTGCTCAGTCAAAGTCCAGACCTCAACCTGATTGAAATGTTGGGGCTGGGCCTGAAGAGAGCTGTGCTTAAACCAATGCCCGCAAACCTCAATGAACTGAAGCGATCATGTCTACATCCCTGGTGGTGGCAGTGAACCAGCCATCAACCAGAGCCTCGACAGGAGCACCAGCCAGTTCAGCCAAAACAACTCTCATGGCATCCTGGAATCCTACAGTAGCCTTCGAGGGCGGACCATAGAAATAGGTCCCTGCTCCCTACTAGGGGGGAGAGCCACTGAGGTCACATTTTATTAGGTGGTGGTCTGACCATGACAATGGGGCTGACACAAGGTCAATAACCACTCTCTAATTGGTGGAAAGGACCAGGTCTAGCATATGACCACCCACGTGGGTGGGGCCGTTGACATGTTCGGACGTGTTCAAGGAAGCCATGGTTTCCAAGAACTCAAGAGCTGGCCCAGAGGTGTTGGGCATTTTGTTAACATAACTCTATGTAACTGGTAATGGTGCGGCTAAAAAATATTGTAAATAAATAAATAAATGGAAAACTAGGGAAAGGGTAGGGTGTTAGAGTTTTTCTCCTTGTTATGCTAACTTCATTTACATGTCAAAGATTTCTTGTTTTCATGTACAGATGGTTCAGAGGTTGCACCTCATCTGCAGTCTGAGGAAATCAAATAGACTGCTATTCCACACAGTAGAAAAATGGGGGAAGCTCCAATCCTCACTCTGACATTGGGATTATTTTAGGCATCCCCTACAGATGAATGCCTACTGTTTACACATAAAAGAGTGAATAAAATTTTTGAGTACCCTGCACTGGGAACAACTGCATACAAATGTGGAAAATGGCCTTCATCACCACTATGTATATGTGCTTATACACATGTGCTTCTGACAGACCTAAAAATATAGTTTTTGAATGGCAACTGATTAATGGTTTCTGGGAGTTGATTCCAAGGTGCATACTACAAGATTTGATACTGCATTCTCCCTCCAACAGCCATTTAATATACAGTTGCTGCTCCACACAATGACTAAGAAGGGCAAGAAAGACATCACTAGGTGTGTTAAGCCTTTAACCAAAACTGTATTGGACATCCCAATACACATGTATCTCACCCACAGAAGAAAAGGGACAAGCCGTGTGATATGATCCTGTCATCTTGGCCTGGTGCCACCATACCAGGCTGTCTTGAGCCTTGGAGCTTGCACCGAAGCCCACACTGTCATTCAGTCCATACTAGGAGTTGTCTGGTTTGCCTCTGTCCTCTGCAGTCTTTTCTTCCTAGCTACAAAATTGTGACAAGGCGAGCTGCTGTATTCACAAAATCTCACTGGTTAGTATACAAATCAAAAGCAACACAATAAATGGGCACAGAGGAGAACCTGCAGGAAATGAACAAAAAAGAGATTCACTTCCAATCTATTTATATGTATACAGTAGTTGCTGGCCAGCCTTCCAAAAGGGTGGTCAACATCTGATTGTGGTAATCCAGTGACTACAGAGAATGAGTACATGTACTTTCTTGCAGCACAAAATGGCCTAGGTTTAGTTTAAAGTGGCGAGAGGTACAGCTGTATATAGGCTGGTTACTTCAGATCACACACTATTCTGTGTCTTGTGATATTTGGGGCTATAATTGATGCAGTATTCCAGACACAGTGGAATCTTCAATTCCTGGCCATTGTGCCAAACATGATCTCAATCTGAGATCAAGCCTGGAAAATCTATGCCACCAGGTTTGTATTTCCTGCCATATACTGTAGCCAGGAGTATTTCACCTTCTTCTTCTGTTTGCAGTCCCAGACAATAACCAAAAGCAAGTTTCACAAGGTCTAATAGTATGTGGTACATAACTGGGAAGTGTGGACTGCACTCAGCATGGTTGATTATAAATTGCATCAGCTTCTGCTGGTCATTAATAACAACCTATTATACAGTAAGCAACTTCAGATGTTGACATCAGTCAATATTTATGTAACAAACAGTGGTAAATAGCTGTTTGTGTGTCCATACCCTGATTAAACCAAACAAATATTGCCATAGGTAGATCTATTATCTGTCCAGGTATGGAGGGTCTTTCATCCATATACAGTGCAATCGTTTTTGGAACTCAGAATATCACCTTCTACTTCTCTGGTATGCGTAGCCCAGAGGGCATAATGTTAGCTATTTGTGCACACTGAGAAGGAAATTTCAATACATACCCAAACCACAGAATTAATTAGTTTTTAGTACAGTCTAAACCTTTTATGCCTAAATTCCATAGAAACATTAGCACAGCATAATCCTTTACGATATGTGCCCTAAACTTAAGTACTGTAATGGTTTTAAAACATCTTTTGGGGAATAGGTTTTTGGTGTCTCAGCTCAATTTTTGGAAAAGTTGGGCACTCATGGATGGCTTCAATTTTTTTTGTATTAGCCTTTCAAATTGTATTTAAAGTATGAAAAATACTGAGCAATTTTGCTAGGTGGTAGGAGCTTAAGACTGAAGTATTTATGCAGAGAACTGTTTTGAAAATGGGACATTTGTACATCCATACATATATGCAGGGCTGTTGGTAGAAAAAGACATTTTGCCTGCTCTTCTCTCTTGCACTAAATTACCAGCTGTTATTCCACTCAAAACATTTATTCGGGGGGTGGGGAGAGAAACTGTCAAGAACTACTTCCTACAACATAGATCCCAACAAAGAGAAAAGGTATGAAGAGCTACCCTTCCTCACAAAACACTTCACCTGGATATGTCCCATTCAGGAAGGTCTGCGGATATATCTCAACCAAACATAATTCCAGCCGGTAGAGGAGCTTGTTAGATGCAGGGACAGAAAACAAATTCCTGGCCTGGAATGGTGAAACACTGAAGATAAGGTTGCAGAAGGCAAATATTGATAGGACAACCTTTTCTA